ACACATCGTTTCTAACTCTCCTCTTATGCTTACACTTCTACTTCTTCTCTTGTTTTTCTGTTCTGTGTTTTCTCTTTTCTTTTCTTTTATGATAGATACCATCATTCATACACTTTTTCTTTTTCCCTTTTTTTCTTTAGTTACGTAATGTAAAGAGATGTCATAAGTTCGCTCCTTTCTTTTTCCACTGAAGCTTATAGCAACACCATTTCTGGATCATAATTACATCATTAAATCAAGGGATCAAGAAGTTGATTTAATGATGTATTATTATTTGATGCAGTGCTCTAGCTCTATAGCGGTTGACTACTTTGCTTGTACAATAATGTTTTTGAGCTGATGATAACGCAGGAAACTCTTTCTTTTTATGATAATGTTTAAGTCGTTCTTCTTGACCAGATTTTTGCGTTATAGACGATTGAGATGTTGTTAGTTCTTGAGTTAAAAACTGATCTGTCGATACATAATACTTGGAATACGTGAACAGTCGATATTGTTTTGATTGTTTTTTCCAATCATCAAATTCAGATTTTTGCTTTACGATGTATGTTCGAATGTGTTTTATGGTTTTTGATATCAGACTTTCATCATTTTCATCAAAATTCAGTCATTGCAGTAAACGAGCAGTACTTTTTACTACATCACGGTTATAGTCAGAATAAATTCGAAATAAATTCGAAATAAATTGAGTTCTGATACAGTAAGATGACACATTTAATTTCAAATAAGATGGTCTGAATAACATATGGCAGTTATCTAAACATCCTCCCAGAATAGAAGAGCACGGCCTCCTGCTGTGTCCCAGCGGATCAAACTTTTCAGGATGGCCTTTTATTAAGTTTAAGCCGATTCGTTAGTTCATTAGAAATTCGAATAAACCTTACTTCGCCGAGACCTCCAATCTCTTCTAAAACGTCCTAGAAGGATGTGGTGAACACTTTTCTAACGTTAATATAACACTGATGCTTCGTGGACATCAAGCAGCAAACATAATCATTTACAAAATTAAAACATGCATTATTAGAAGAATAGCAGCGAGTTTAGGAGTGTTCATAAATACCCTTTATCTCCATTGCATTGACGTTTCGCTATCGCCGGCATCAAATATCAGTTAGGGTATAATGTGCAGATTAATGGAATAAAACTTAAAAAATTCAGTTGGTGTAAAATGGCGCGGGACTTATACCGGTCCACCGATACTGTTTGAGGATAGTCGCTCAACACTTAGCAATCAATATAGGCTCGTAAATCCGTTTAAATTGCTGGTAATATCCTAGTGAACTAGACATCCGACTAGTATTATTGACGTAATAACTGACGAATATTATGAAGTTCTGCATGAGTAAAGTTTGTTTCATTAAACAAAACTTACGTGTACCCACTGAAAAAAATTTACGAATTCCTGCGTAGACACGTGGGAATCTGAAAAAATCCTGTGAATATTGGATATATACTGCAGGTTTTTACATCAAGTTACCTCGCCGAAAATGTTCCTGCAAGTTGTGAGTATAATTCAGCAGGATTCTTTAACACGCTCATTTTTCAAATTTCTTTTGCAGGATTCTGGAGAATTCTTCTCTAGGCACACCATGCGGGAGCTTTTATATGCGTTCATCGGATACATCTCGCAGATTCTTCACTTTGCAAATCTTGCGGAATTTTTTTCTACCTGTTATCAGTTGTAATACACAAGACATCTCACTACGGAAACCCTGTAAGATCTGTAGAATTTTCTCGCAGTAATAAAAAGTAATAGGTTGTGGATTTTGGCCCCCACCTCTATGCTGCGGCATCCTGCAGTCTTTTCTCACCAATGTCTGTTCAGGGTGACTGTGGAGAAACTTGCCTGCATTTTTTATTTTTGGAAAGTTAAGTACTTTTGCATCTTTTCTTGTAAAATTATAATAGCTTTTCTCGTGTCGAATAAACTTCCGGAAAATATACCTTAATATTTTTAACTATAGGTTGTCAATGTTTTTACCGAAGTTTTTAAGTTATCTATCATTCAATACAGTATTCAAAACTAAAGAAATTAGAATAGTGTGATATCTGTGCTTTGCCATACATCTTTTTTTCATAATAACGAGATCATTCTAATGACTTTAATTTCTTATGGATGGTAGAAATAAAATATTTCTGACATAAAAAAGACTTTTTCAGTTATCTATTAATAGTTTCGTTTTGTACACATGAAAATGCGTGTTAAAGTCAAAATATTAAGTTATACATTTTCTAGAAGGTTATCGGACACGAGAAAAGTTTTTATAACTTTATAAGAAAAAGTACTTAACTTTCCAAAAATAAAAAATACAGACAAGTTCCTCCACGGTCACCCTGAACAGACATTGGTGAGAAAAGATTCCTGGATATCACAGGATAGACACAGGAGAACAAAATTCTTTTTCTTTCAACCAACAAAATCCTACCAGATTTCGTAAGATAAAACTTATGGATGGAATAAGTCAAAAAGTCTTGCGATGTGTTTTACCTTTACGCAGAATTTTTTCCATGCTAACCCTGCATAAACTATGCAGGGTTTTGTCAGGGCTGGTAGTATAAAAATCGTGCGTAAAGGTAAGAAACATCACCAGATATTTTAATACCAACAACTCGCGGGGATCTATGCTAAGTCCTGCGGGATTCAGTATGAATTTTGATTACTTTTTCAGCAGGTGTACTACATATGCATATCAATGAGATTTACTTGTACCTAACAACGATTCTGCAGGATACCATAATAATGCAATAGTCATATCTGAACACGTGCGTGCTATACGTATGTCCAGTAGAATCTGGCAGTCATTTTCCGTCATATTTTCCGATGGTGGTCAGCTGTGGGCCGGGGAGCGTAAATAACAAAATTTTGTTGTTCATTACTGATTAAAAGATTTTGGTGAGCATAAAAAGATAAAACAAATTTTGTTTTGTCTAGGATGGGACGACAAAAATTAATTTTTTTGGAGGGCAGATGCCCACATCCTCAGGATATTGGCTTTAGCTCTAGCTGTACGAACGTATAGAATCTCAACCGATTAGCAGGCATCTTGCACCAAAGATTGACGCACTAGATGTGATCTAATAAGTCGTAGTCAAACAGATTCTATCGAATGTCCGCCGAATTTTAAACTGATTTCTAAGGAAACGTATAAACCCGTCCTTTAATAATCTTATGCACACAGTAATCATTGATCGCTTATTTCAAGAATCGAACCTTTCGATTACGATCTGTAATCATCAACAGCTATATTTTACAATAAAAGACACGACTATATATATATTCAGTACTTCCCTTTTTCTTCCTATTTTCACTTTTCTCTATTCAGTCACTTTTGTCCTTTTCTTTTTTGCTCTTGTGAAGATACGTTGAACACTTCAAGGGAAGAAACAAAAGAATCTTGAAAATTTCTTTATTACAGTGTCCCTTCCCCTTACTTATAATGAAATGAAAGAATATATAATGACAACAAAAACTAAAACTAAAGGTGATCATACTTGATAACTATTCATTGGAAAAGTAACATTTCTGAGTAATTTTGTTGTATGCTGTTGGATGTTGCATCTTCTCCTTAATTTCTCTCTTCTTCCATTGTGTAGCTCTTATCATAATCGTTGATTCACCAAAGTGGACGACATGATTCTTGTTGTTTAGCATATGATCAGCAACAGACGATTTTCCTTCCTCTTTTAATCCACCATGATTCATCCATTCTTTCTAAAATACGTAGTTTTGTTTGACCAATATAAACTTTTGGACAACAATCGCAACTAATTTTGTATATCACTCCGATGTTCATATCATCAATCCCTTTATAGTTTGTGATAAACATTTTCTTAATTGTTAATTCCCTCTTCTTTCTTCTGTTGTTGGAAACATTTTCTTTGTCTTTACTTTTAGCTTGTCAGCATGATTTGTGTTTCAGTACCAAAATATGTTAAAGATGTAAAAAAGGTTTTATCTTTTATTTTTGATAGTTTTTTCACTGTCATTGTGAATGTTGTTTTTTATTTATCATATTATTCTATTGTATTTTTGATTTTTCTTTTCACCAGATTAACAGGATAACCATTTTTTATTAAACATTGTTGAATAAATTCACATTGTTCATCTAATAATTGTCTTAGAACATATTCTAATTACCCATGCTATTAATGTTCTAATTAAACCAGTTTTATATATTGTTTCATTGCATTAGTTACCAAGGTTAGTCATTATTTTGGTACTGAAACAAAAACCGTGACTCACAAGTTAAAAGTAAAGATAAAGAAAATGTTTTCAACAACAGACGTGGTATTTGGTTTTTAAGAAGAGATTAACAAATAAAAACTGTTTATCTTTTATTGTAAAATATAGCTGATGATGATTACAGATCGTAATCGAAAACTTCGATTTTGAAATAAAAGATGAATGATTATTGTGTGCATACGGTTATTATTAGCTTTACTAAATTATATTACAACAAATAATATTATTATTAAACTGGTCTTTTCGACATGCTTAACTATTAGCTAGCATCTAAGTTTGTTTAATTTTCCTACTCGTGTGTTTCTCCTCTATATGAATTTCAAAGAAAAAGTTAAATTTCAGTTCTAAAACATTTTAATTCAAGAATAAAAAAAAGCCTGTACATCAAAAGTTGAGAAGCACGCACCTTGTTCTTCTTCTGAATGGAGTACCGACGTTCTAGTGGCTAAAAAATAGTTTAAAATACTAGAACTAGCAAAAAATAGGTATCGTCCGTGTTGATTCAATCCTCTCCGGCGATGGGAAGCATTCACAACCCGAGATACTTGACTTTCTTTGTTTTATTGAAAACTCTTGAAAGTAGTTCAAGGCGACGTTCTGAATTACAGATCTGAACCGACTTGAAATATAGTATGATGCTCGTCTGGAAGTATAAATAGAATGATAACCTGTCTTTTATTCAGTCGTTCCGGCTAGGAGCATCAGTAACGGCTTGTTTTCAGTCCTTTCACAGCGCAACCGGCCAGCGACAAGACCAATGCCAATAATAATTAATGTGGGTGGCAGAAAAAGTGACAGTGTGTTGCCAAGCACTAGTAATCAGTTGAAAACAGAAAATGTTAATGAGATACCAATTGCTCATCGAAAACAATCACATAGGATAACACGCGTATCAAAATTAGAAGACGCTAATGAGACAAAAAACAAAAACGATGATGTTCTTCCAAAACAACCATCACATCACATAACACGTGTACCGAAGCAATTATTAACTAAATCCGTAAGGAATGACACACATCTAATTAGTTTTTGCAGTCGAAAAATGTTTCGCTTTTGCATTCTGCAACAGAACACAAAAACGTTTACGCCTAATGGGTGAAAATTTTGTTTTTGGATCAGAGAGAAGCGCCTCTATTGTTTCACATCCCTGAAAATCATATAACCTTTTACCTTCCTATAGGAATTGGAACCGGAATGGAATCAGAAACTTAGTCCATCAGTACAACAATCGCCATTTCATCAGGTAGCCTAGGAAATAATATATAGTATAATAATTTCAAGTATCGTTCATTTTTACAATAGGAATCATCTTCTGAACAACAACAACCTGCATTGAACAGCATTGATACATCAATTGTTCATCGAAAACAATCACATAGGATAACACGCATATCAAAATTAGAAGATGCTAATGAGACAAAAAACAAAAACGATGATGTTCTTCCAAAACAACCATCACATCACATAACACGTGTACCGAAGCAATTATTAACTAAATCCGTAAGGAACGATACACATCTAATTATTTGTTGTAATAAGCATCTCTCGTTGCAGTATGCACCATCAGCACAACTAAATGATATAGTTTTACAAGATGTACACGATTTACATAGTGATATTGGAACTTCAATTACCTTGAAACAAAATGTAATGGATGTTCTCATTCTATGAAATGAATAAAGTCACCAGCGGTGTAGCCGATCTGAAAAGCATGGAAGGGTCTGGAAGTTTCTGCAGTCGAAAAAGTTTTCGCTCGAGCGTTCTGTAACAGAACACAAAAAAATTTATGTCTGATAGGTGAAAATATTTTCCGGATCAGAGAGGAGCGCCTCCTATTGTAAGACATACCTGAAAATTATATAACTTTCTATCTTCCTATAGGAATCAGACCCGGAACGGAATCAGACCCTTAGTTTATCAGTACAACAATCGCCATTTCATCAGGTAGCCAAGGAAACAATATATAGTATAATGATTTCAAGTATCGTTCATTTTTACTATAGGAATCATTTTCTGAGGAACAACAATATCCATCGAATAGCAATCGAACTACTTCTGTGCGTGAAGTAACATTGACTCTGAATTGTGTCTGATGTTTTAGTTGCTTTCTTTTTTCTTTAAAGTTAAAGTTTCATAAATCAAAATTATCGACATCGTCCCAGAAGCAGCTTCTAAAAAAAAGCAAAATCCAGCAACAGACCAAGACCAAATTTTCACCTTGTTGTTGTTGTGTTATTGCTGGTTTATTGGCAGGAGCGCTGATAGCGGCCCTTGCAACGCTGCTTACATTGACAAAATCGGGTACTAAACAAAAATATTATGCTAACTTATCCAAGACAGATGTTTTTTTACAGGTGACACAACGACGACGACAACTACCGGAATGACTAGTACTTCAGTCACTTCGACCACAACGACTTCAGCAAGTAAATGCTTTTTGAACGATTCTACTCGGTCAAAAGAAAACTCATTATTCCTTTAAATAGCATCAACGACCTCCACGTCTACAACAAGTTCAACTTCAAGTTCAAGTACAAGTACAACAAGTTCAACTTCAAGTACAAGTACAAGTACAACAAGTAAGTGAACAGCAACTCAATGATTCTATACCGACCGTAGTAAAAAGCTAGATAATAAAAATATTTTATGACTAGACGACGAGTAACAACATTCATGTCAAATCCGTCTTACCGGAAATTGATGAGGGTAAACGTGACCTTAATCGATCTGACTTTAAAAGTGAGTTTGAGAAACATCACGTTTATGACGGAATTTTATATCGGAATGGCTATTGGCATTACCAGGAGCGTCAGCTAGGAGCTATTGGCACTCCCATGCAAAAACATTTGCTGGAAGTAGCAACGAGGACGTCATCTGCCATATAAGCGACCCGACGTTTGAAAGTTCCTTGAGCCATAGTGTGACCCACAAGATTCTGATTGTATATTCGTATTTTGACGGACATCTCGCTTATGGGGGAGGGAGAAGAGCAGGTCGATGGTGAGAGTGAGTAAAAAGCTGAAAATCTAATACTTGAAAATTGCTATAATAAAAACTTATGATAAGAGGAAAATTATTGAACACACTATCATACACACTTGAATATGACAGTCATATTGAGCACTCAATCCACTAAAAAATTCGATTAATTCAAATTTCTTCAGGTGAATTTCGCTTTTTTTCTGAATAGCAGATGCGTAATTTTGTTCAGTTTTAGATGCTCTTTGAAACAAGTCTGTGATGAAAACAAACAAGATGTACGGGGTATGGCAAAATGATTGTGACACTTTTTATTTTGCCTATATCCCAGCACAGACAAAACATAAAATCTTGAACTTTTTAAAAAGTTACTCCGTCCAATTGTTTACAAACCTCTTTTTACCTTAATTTAAAACAACAGAACTAAACGTTTTCATAGGTCGCATAGTATCATTATATGAAACGCGCCACTTACCACTGATTTTACTATATTTTTCCCGATTTTTTCCACGATAAAAACAGGCACCTAAAAGACTGAGTTTTTATATTTCGATTGAATATGAAGTGTGCTTTCAGAATTATTTATAAGCGTTTAATCGCAATCTACTTTTGCGAATTACGAATGGCCTGTCTGAGCTGCTACAGCAAAAATAGACTTTTGACAGTATTCAGGTTCTTATTCCAACTGAATCATCTAGTATCACATGTTATTTGGGCTCTAAGTAGAAAAAAAAATCCAGTTTCTAAAACTGCTGCAAAAATGAACTCGTTTTTGTCATGGTGAGATTTCTAGAATGCTTTTTTTTAAAAAGAAATAACCAAGAGCGAAAATGTTACCATTCTCAAAAAATAGCTTTGTTGCCTAACCGAAAGAAAATGAGCATTAGAAAACTTCGTATATATGCTATGCACAATTAACAAACGTTTTCAAGAGCTATCTAGCAGTGACTTCTGTTTTTAAAAGTAAATATTCATTCGTATAGGAAAAATAAATTAGTAAACACTATGTGCAGGAAGTAGGGGCAATTCATACAATGATACTATGTCATCTGTAAAAACTGTGAGTTCTATTGTTTTAGGTTAAGGTAAATACAGATTTGTAGAGAATTCGACGGTGCGTCTGTTGAAAAAATTCAAGATTTTAGGTTTTGCCTGTGCCGAGATATAGGCAAAATAAAAAGCCTGGCAATCATTTTGACACATCGTAAGTGACAGGTATCAGTTTTGCTGGGAGTCTCTAGACTGGTAATAGCTGACTTCGGACAACCTATAAAGTAAATGAAAGCATCGGTTATCGATCATACTGGATCTTGTGACAATGGTTTTTTCCAGGAAAAGGTGGGCAAACCAGTGAAACTGAGTTTTGTGGAAAACCCACTGATCCAGCTATAACAATGCAGAAGAAAAATTCCAGTCATCCTCAAAAACCCACCAAACCGCTTGGAACTCTCAGAAAATACTCCATTTTCATTGATTACATGTTGATACAGTTAGAAAAGTAAAAACATCTATTTACCTATTATTGAGATTTCCACAGGTTTTCTAGAGATCCATCATAGGAGAACATATTATTTGAGAGTAGATTTGGTATTCTAACTATTACATCTACTTCTGAATTCCAGTTTAGCTGAGTTTTGAGGGAGACTGGAGTATTTTACTTTTGTATGGAGAAGGTGAGAGGTGAGAGGAGCTTTAAAATGGTATGTGATACAAACTTGTTTCTTTGCTAGCGCAAGAATTAGTAAAAACTGGAAGTATGTTGCATTTTCTCCTAGTCTATGTACTTCTGGTCCATTAAAATAGTCCAAAAACAAACCCTAAAATAAATCGGCCATCTTGTGGAGAATTTCATGCGCTATTGAAATATATATAAACTGAGATGCAATCTGACTACCAAGTAAATGAAAAATTAAAAGTTTGTGAATCTGTATCCCATTAAGTATCTGGTCATATAAAAGTTTGGCCTGTCATTGTAACACATAGCAGTCAAGATATGAAATAGATGTCTTTCAATACAGTTTTTCATCATCTAAAAATCCAAAATTCAGCTGCATCATCAGACAGACGAAAGTCAAAAAAATTCTTTTTCTATGATAAATTTTATTTTTTAGCGACAACAACCACAACGACAACGACAACCCGTACGTTCATGTTTTCCTTAAACAAAAAATATGCATGAGAGCTTCGAGAATTGTCCGTACATGAAAGAAAAGATGTCTTATTTAGGCGCTCATTCGACTCAGCATACAAGCTGCATGAACGGGAACAGTTTTATATTTTCGTCTCTCAAACCGGTCGATAAAGATTTTTCGAAAAGAATTTTGAGTTTATTTCTTATGGTTCTAAAAATACGTAGCAAACTTTTTTAAAAAATTGTCTTTATTAGAGCACATTCAGTTCCGCTTAGGCATGGGCGAGTCCGAGTCCGCACTGGAAGATTTTTTGGAGGACTCGGATTCGAACTTCGACTTTTTCTATTGCGAGTCCAATCTATTTAACTTTCAACACAAATGAACAGAGAAAAATGAAAAGCGAAATACAAAGCCATTTGTTTCACAAGAAATTGAAAATCTTGTTCCCAAGACGGACATGCAAAGTAATCTTGTTTTTGGAAAATCAAATATCTATCCAGGGCTCAGTAAATTAAAACAGAGAAATAACCCACACTCATTAAAAAGGAATCTAAAAGATTACCGGATTCGAAATGGACTGGGAACTGACGCGGAAAGGTATCAAAGTGTAACGCGGGTTTTCGAACGGGATATATTCTACATCGTAGAGTGTGATGCGCTGACTACGGTAAAAGGCCGAGCTGAAAACCTTTCTGCAGCGGTGAAAGAACTTTTTCAAAACTTGCTCCATGTTTTACCTTTGGTATCCATATAGAAAACGTTCTTTCACCGCTGCAGAAAGAGGTTCTCGGCTCGGCCTTTTTCCATCGAACTACAATTTTTCGACATTGGAGTACGAATGCGTTGACTCACTGACTTTCTGAATACTAACAGTTAAGCCTCTGTTCTCCAGCTTAAGCGGCAGCAATAATACACGCCAGTTAATTAGTAATTTCACATCGAACTATACACTATAACAAAAGCTTGATTCAGAATTTTGTTTCTTTCAACCACCTACAGCATTATGCACGGATGCATTAGATAATTCGTCGTTAGTGGCTTATTTTCCATTCGATTCTCCCTCTCCTTTGAGTTATGTTGGTTCAACTGGTTTAACTACTACCGACAGCGGTCAAACGACAGTTCCTGGTCATGTTAATGACGCATTATCATTCACAGGATCAACAAGTTCTTATTTTCAAATTGGTAATCTTGGTGTAGTTGGAACGGTCGATCAATCGTTCTCAATTTCCTTATGGATTAATCCGACTGTTTCAACTGCAGCAACAATTGTGCATGTATCACTGGACTCGGCAGGTATGCCAGACAGACGATCCGCCGGCGCTGGATATTCAAATATCCTGACCATGAAAGACAGTGAGAGAAAAACTGTTTTCTTGTTTCAGGTATCGGTGGTTGGTGTTTGCCATTTATTGGTTTTACAACGTCGGGACAAATAGCGGTACAAATGTGGCAGGGATCCTATCCACCCTCTGTAACTGGTCCAACTCTTCTGTTAAATACGTGGAACCATGTCGTAGAAACGTTTAGTGTTACTAATGGTTTGAAATTATACATTAACGGTTCTCTTTATTCAACAAATTCAGTATCTAATTTTGCAGCAAGTGGTTCATCAATGTACCTGACTGTTGCTAGTTCTCTATCCGGTTATTCTCCTGCGTGTTCAGGCCTAGGGGTAATACCATTTACGTCTTATCCCGGCGGTGTTGATGAATTAAGAATATATAGTAGAGAATTAATCGCCCAAGATGTTTGTACACTTTTTTATTATTATTAACTTTGTTCATGATATTACCATTACAGTTCAAAGACATGTTTTCATTTTTATAACATGTGCTTTTGAGATTACTGGACATGTCTAGTACGAGATAGGGCGGTTGTTAGAGAATGCCTATAGCTTCGAGTCTATGAAAGCTACAGATGTGGGACTTGTGTAGAATTGTAGAGAACAATAAGGATCGAATCAATCATTCTGCATTTGAAAATCATCTTTTTCTGGTACCTTAACAGCCTTATTTTTCAAAGATCAATGTGGTACATCATCTGCAGGTGGTATCCGGACCCGGAACTTTTCTGAAAACTGAAAGGTCTATCCGGTATGGAAGTCTTGAACTCTTCCTGTAAAAAGTTACTAAACAATTTTGCAAACCTATCTAGTTTACGTAATGAGATGAAGCGGATCTTTTTATTTCATGAGAACCGACATTAAATGAGCTTTACAAGTACGGAGAGGAGAGTTTTCTTTAAAATTCCTTTCCATTGCTGAGAAATTTTACTTTCTCTAAGCCAGGAACGAAAAAATCGTAATTCTGCTCATAATTCTCAACTTTTTTTCTCTCCACCCTAACTGACTTTTTATGCAATACACGTATCATATTCGGAATCAGAATAAAACACTGAGTTGACCGATGGGTATGCCTATCCTATCCGACTACTTTAGTTTTCTTCGAATTTTCACGTCGAAAAATTACTGAGGTTTTCACCAAAAAATGAAAATCAGCGGAAACTTTTAAATCATATATCATCCGACTCAGTTTTCGACGCTGACTCCGAATATGACACTTGTATTGCACAAAAAAGTGAGTTCTGGTGGAGAAAATTGAGAATTATGAGCAGAATTCTGATTTTTTCCTTCCTGGTTTAGAAAAAGTAAAATTTCTCAGCAATGGAAAGGAACTTTAAAGAAAACTCTCCGTATCTGTAAAGCTTTTTACAGGGAGAGTCCAAGACGTCCATACCGGATAGACCTTTCACTTCAATCTCGATCAAGCATCATTCTCATACTCAGTTTTTAATGCTGAATCCGAGAACGCTACTTTCCAAAGCTTAGAAGAATGTAAAAGAAAATAATTTCAATTATTTTGAAAACGGAGGGTTTTCGAAATCTGAGACTATTCTAGTATTTTGAAGTTTTTTCATTCAAACAGCAATTTTTTAAAGCTAGAATGTAGATATTCTTGCTCAGTTCGTTGAGCTCTATCGATTGATATATAATTAAGTCAAAAATAAAATGATGTGGAAACTTCGTGTTAGCGGCACCATAGAGTTTTGTCGAACAATCTTAGGATTTTTTGCAAGTAAGTCAAGTACTTGCTCAAGAAACCGGCAAGAATCTGTGAGAGGTTTAACAAATAAATATATTTTATACGCACTTTCACACACCTTGACTAGTAATCGCTAAGCACGGTTTTACAAAAATACTTACCAAGTGTTTTGTAAGTTTCAATGGTGCGCTTTTCGAATACAGTATCTATTTGGACCTAATCTACATTAATGAAATCAACTTTGTCGAGTTCTTTCTGAGTGTTCTATAGAAATTTTTTATATGCAAATAGAAAGGCAGATTCTCAGAAATGCACCTTCGTAAAGCTCTTTTCTCATTTAAAATCCTTCCGAACTGTTTCCAAGGAAAGACTTTAGCACTGAGTCGATTTTCCATATATAAGAAACTGATAAATGCGTTTACCTTTGGTGTCTACTCTTCAAAACTTTGAAGAAATCAAAATTCAGCTGCTTCGTTTAACCACCTACGTACAGCTTATTTCCAGCCAGTTAACTGGCTTTTTCTCTCAAAACCAAAAATATAGCGAGCCCATAGCCATTCAGTACCACAAAAACGAAATGGTCTATGATCTGTCAGTTTACAACCTGTTGATTGTCTAAAAATCATCTAAAAACTGTCTGATTTATTGACCGTTTTTAGGTCTTAAGAAATTACTGTGTAAAAACGGCCAGTAAACCGTAAGACCGAACAACAGCCAGTTAACTGTCTGTACGTGGATCGTTAACTACACAATTAACTAGCTGCTTTTTGGCTTTTCCGTTTACTGGCAGGTATTAGACGGTATTTTTGCAGCCCTAAAAACGACCAATGAACTAGACAGCTTTTAGGTGGTGTTTAGATAGTTAACACATTGTCAACTGGCTGTTTTTAGGCAGACTATAAATCTGCAGTTAATGAGCAGTTTATTGCCCGTCTTTCTTCTCCCGGGTACTTACCAGTGGTTATGGCACATTGAATAGATTCACGTAATGTAGCTGTTGCCGAAGTTCCATTTAAAATAAACTTTGTAAATGGGGTTAACAGTGTTGACAATATAATTGGTAAAAATAAACTTTTTGTTCGATAAATCATGAGAGTAACAATGGATTTTATCATTTTGTCAAAACAGTGGTCACTTTTTGATGTTATTTTCTGTTATCGTCTTACTGTATTTATCTTTTGAAAAGCTTTATATAAACTTGCCACACTGGTGGCCCATGGTCATAGTAGTACGATGGGAAAAAATTCGATCCTAATGAATTTTCCTGCCCTGATATATTGAGACTCGAATATTTCACCTGAAGGTGAGGGTCAGATGTTCGAGTCTCAATATCTCAAGGCAGGAAAATTCATTAGGATCGAATTTTTTCCCATCGTACTACTATGACCATGGGTCACCAGTGTGGCAAGTTTCAAGTCAAAATTCGAAAGTCGAATTTTGCTCGAAATCCAAGCTCTATAGGCAAAAACTGACTAAAAATTCAATATCTCAGCAACAAAGCACCATGGGGATGAACCAACTT